CCCCCCTGTGGAACGGGACAGCCCGCTTCCGCGGCTCCGTGATTCTCCATCTGTTTGTGTTTGTGTGTGCTCCAAACGAGGACGGAGAATCACCGCCCCCCCCCTGTGGAACAGGTGTACTGTCCTGTGAGCGAAGTGGTGTGATCTTGCGAATTTCGTTTCTAATGGATCACACGGGCACACACACACACATACACACATACATACATACATACATACATGCATGCATACATACATACATACATACATACATACACACATACATACGTGGCTTCGTTTCCTGGACAAGGATGAAGATCTGGGCCCAGAGCACTACCGCAAGCATGCAGACGAGTATCATCGACGATTGGAGCCCATTCAGGCTGCAGTCGAGAATGCTCACATGCGCGCAGCTCTGAAGAAAGACATTGCATGCAAGCGCAAGAGAGCAGCACAGGACATAGTGCTGGTCTCAGGCGATCGCAAACTTTCCACCATGGATACAGGGGACATCATTCTCCGACACGAGGGCGACTTGAAGTTGCTCCCGCAAGCTCTCCCCGCAGATGCAGGCGATTCAAGCGGCCCTTTCGTGCGTCCGAAGAGAAGGGCGAAAGCAAAGCAACCTGCCGTTGACCCGTAGTTCTTGCAAGAAACAGTGCGCCAAGCCTTTGAAGCCCGCAGGTTACTAGGCGCAGGGTTCCACAGGTTCAGATATAAAGCCTGAGGGTGAGGGGTACTAACTGTTACTAACTTCTGGGGCCTCCCTGGTTGGGAGAACTGAGGTCAACTTTCAATATGAACCCTGGCTTAGAAACCCTCTGCACATAGTAATCATGTCGTAGAAGGTATTGCGTCAAACCCTTTTTCTTCCCAATTATACCAACCCTTGCGCACGAGTAAGCATGCTAAGTATTGTGATTTGTCTTCTCGTTACTAATCATAACAAGTTTTGTTCTGAGCCCCTTAAGCACACGAGTAATCGTACAAAGTATTGCCTATTATCCTGTTACTATTAATTAAAGGAACCCTTGCACACGACTAATCAGGTTAAGTCTGGCCTGTAACCCTCTACTTAGTACTGCTAGGATTTGGCGTAGCAATCATACTAAGTATTGTCCCGAGCCTGAAACCCTCGTACAACTGATCGCGCGAATTTTGCTTAGAACTGCTCCGAGCACAGATAATCATACTAAGGGCTGCTTGTGATGCACGAGTAATCATGCTGAGTATTGTCATTTGTTTTCTCATTACCACTCAGAGGAAGTTTGTTCTGAACCCTTCCGCGCACGAGTAATCGTACAAAGTATTGCCTATTATC